TCTCTTCTGATTTGGCTAAAGCATATTTTCCTGGGGTTGTTGCCACCCTTTTAGTATTTTACTTGCTCCTTCATATACACTTATCTGGACAAAATGACAAGGCGGAAAAATTCACCACAAAAAAAAGAACAAGAGGCAGTACCAAAGGCTAGGGACCTAATCAATACAGACATTGGTAATATGTCAGATCTAGAGTTCAGAATGACGATTCTCAAGGTTCTAGCCGGGCTCGAAAAAGGCATGGAAGATATTAGAGAAACCCTCTCGGGAGACAGAATTCTTCAATGTCACCCTATTATTTTGTAATAAACATTATGCTGGAGTGTAATTAATCCTTTCTAACATTACATCCCACTAGGACATCCACAAACATTCTTTTTTATTCCTTTTCTTTTTTTCCCACCCAAATTTATGACATTTGTGATTATTAATTTTATGTATCATGATTAGGCCAAACATTTTTCTGGGTAGTTCCTTGAGAGGATTTTTGAATGGGATTAACATTTAATGAACAGAGCAAAGTGTATTCCCTCCATAGTGTGCTGGGCCACATTCAGTCAACTGAAGATTAGAACAAAAAGATAGACCTTCCTTTATGTTAAAAAATAAGTAAATAAATAAATAAATAAAAGAAAAAGAAAAAAGAAAAAAAAATTCTCTCATAGATTTCCTTTGGACTTTATCTGTACCACTGGCTCTCCTTTGTCTTGAGCCTTCTGGCCCAAAGTGTGGGTTTGGATTTGCCAGTTATCATAATTATATTAATTAATCATTAATAACAAAGAGTTTTCTATTTACCCACATATCTGGGTGGTTCTGTATCTCTGGAGAACCATGGCCTCTTAAATGCTAAAAAAATAAATGTTCTCACATTTTCCATGATTTAACAACATTTGAACTGCTCAGTAATCTTGAATTAGACAATTAATTTAAACATTACCTTCCTTCTGCCCTTGGACATAAGCCCTGATATTTTATCTTATAGTCTACTAGAATTTCTATAAACACCATATTTCCTAAATGCATCAGCTGTGCTCTAGAAAAGCAAGGCAAACTTAGAAAAACTTATTTCATCATACTATTATATTGGATTTCCATTACTCAATATATAAACATTATGGATTTACCTGAACATTCTTTTTTCCTCTATAATAATCCCCTCTTATCCATGGGTGGTATGTTCAAGACTCCCAGTGGATGTCTAAAACCACATATAATACCAAACCCTATATATACTATGTTTTTCCTATATATACATACATATGTATGTATAAAGTTTAATTTATAAATTAGACACAGTAAGAGATTAAAAATAATATTAATAAAATAGAACAGTTGTAATAACAATACACTGTAATAAAAGTTATGTGAATGTGGTCTCACAATAGATTTTATTTTATTGTACTATATGTAACTTTCTTGTTCTTGTAGTGTGAGATGATAAAATACCTACATGATGAGATGAGGTAAGATAAAGGACATAGGCATTGTGATGTAATGTTAGGCTATGAACAGCCTTCTGACCATATATCAGGAGAGTCATCTGCTTCTAGACCATGGTTGATGGCAGGTAATTGCAAACACAGAGAGCAAAATGAATAAGGGGCACTGCTATATGATATATCCCTAACTCCCTTAATTCTCCATTCATATTTTGAACTATGCTTTTTATTTAAATTCTTCACTTGTTATCCATGATTTTTAAATACTTGCTGGAGTTAACAATTAAAATATTAATCGGTATCATTCAGCCCATAAAATAAAACAGTCTGCAAAATTTTACTTATTACTCCCTTCTATCCTTGAAGTTGTACCTTGAATTTTCTTCATACTTCCTCTCCTAGGGAATTGGGTAAAATGAAGATAATGAATTAGAATTGACAATAATGCTAGTTATCATGTTAGAGGACCAATTAGAGTCACTTGAAATATTTCTTGAATCTTCATAAATTCCCATTGTGAGTGACATGATCAACTTGATTTAATAGACCAGGAAGAACTCTTAGAAATTCAATAATTGTTTCAAATCTTAGAAACAAAAAAGGAGGAGAGAAGGAAATAGAACACTGTGTTCTATCACTAAACAGTATATATCCTTTCTTTAACACCATGTTAATAAATTAGGCCCAAATTTTGTGATCAAGTTCAATAAAAGCCTGGGTATTTTCTAAAATGAACATCACACTGAATGTAAGTGTAAATATTCAGACACTGGACACTGGACATGTGCAGATTTTTGCCCTAGTTTTTGCTTAAATGTTTCATTCTTCTTTTACATTTAGGCATATATATACTTCCAGTCAAATTTAAAAGTTTGAATTGGAAAAAAATAAACAAATATTCAGACACCAAGGCAAAATATTTATAAATGACAAACCTATAAAATTATTAACTAACAATAAAATTACACATGTAAATAATAGTATCATGGAACTAATTTTCCCTAATAGAGAAAACAAAATTCTTTTTTCTGACAAGTATATGTCAGCTAAAGCATTTCAATTATAAATATCAAGTAAAAAACCTATTAAATGTGGGTATTGATGTATATTGCACAAGTTTGATATTCATATTTCTATCTGCTCTATTGCATAATAAAACCTTAGAATTTAGAGAATCCAAAACTTTCTGTATATTAAATAAAACCTACTCTATGCAATTAGATACATACATATTCATACATATATACAACCAATTTAATAGAGCAAAATTACTTCAGCAACATGAAAAAATTTTTTGAGAATGTAAGTTCTTGTAACTTGGGAGACATAATTTTTTCTTTGTTTCCGCTGCTTCTTCAAGGTCTTTCATAACCAGAGGCTGTGTTTCAGAAATTTATTATTAACTAAAGGAATGCAGTTTATGAGATGGAATATTGTTTAAAGAACCATATAGCTTTTAAAGTGCACAAATAAAGCTAGCTTACATTGTGTTTTTCTTCTCCAACTCTATGAAAATCCAATGTTTCTTTCTCTTCATGCTCTCTCCCAGGAGAGAAAAGAATTTGTCAAAGCAACATTTTTAGAGGCTTTTTATGCTTATCAAAATTTTGATAACCAAGGTGAAAAGTAGACAAAAAAATTTTAAACTGCTTTGAATTCCAGAATGCCCTGCAGATACCTGTGGTAGAATTTCATAAAATATTTGGTTCAATGAAAGGTAGGCCCTGGGTAAGCTGATATTCAATATACATAATTTGATTTTATTTGCCACTTTAACAAACTTTTTAGTCACTACTGAATAATGCTGGTCTCTGCTTGTTTTCCATGCCAAATCCTTATGCTCTCACACTCTATAGATGTTACAGGAATTTTTTTTAAGATTTTATTTATTTATTTGGCAGACAGAGATCACAAGTAGAAGAGAGGCAGGCAAGAGAGAGGGGGAAGCAGGCTCCCCTCTGAGCAGAGAGCCTGATGCGGGGCGTGATCCCAGGACCCTGAGATCATGACCTGAGCCGAAGGCAGAGGTTTAACCCACTGAGCCACCCAGGTGCCCCGATGTTACAGGAAATTAAACCTAAATAAATGATTCTATATTTTTTATATATTTTTTCTGTCTATAAATGACACATTTCCAGTAAAGTTTCAAAATGTAAAAGGAATATATTACTATAATAGAACATTCATGTTAGCTCTGACTTTTGTTCCTTTGTGAAACTTTGTATTTAATCTTAAATTTTGCCATCCTTCTAGATTTTAATATTACTAATAATTTAGGTAATTAATTTATTAAAATATTTTTCCAGACAGAGGTGTTTCACCAGATTACCAACTTGCACATAGTTTTGGTTATTGTTTTTCTTTTTTTTTTAAGAGACACATTTTTCACAGAATTATCTAGGTGGTGAAATAAAGTGTTCTAAAGTAAAAATAGCAGAATCTAGCTTGAAGAAACTCTGCATGGAATCTATGCATGTAAAAGGAATATACCATGAAGTTCTGGTTGAGCAAAAAATATTCATTATTTTCCAAGTTTTTCATGTGGGTCACAACATCACTGGGTGAGTCTCTAAATATATGTTAATTTGGGTACCTGGTAGCTGAACTCAAAAAAATCCCATTAAGATATAGCATAATCTCTTGTTATGATCCTAAAGCTAATTGCTTTATGAAATTTGAAATAATATGTGTGAGTGTAATTAAGAAGCCTACACTTAACAAACAAATATGCATTAAAATAATGACTATAGAAACAATCTATTTAGATGAAAAAATAGATTTATAAATTATCTTTTCATTTTATATCTTGATAAACATTCTATTCATCTCCTATTCTACAGGTTTCATACTGTACATATATGAATATCTACAACCACTGACTGGAAAAGCCACATTGCCTATGACTTTATGGTTGTGATGTCCATTGGCATCCCCTTATGGAGGTTAACTAGTCAGTTGAATGTCAAACCTTACCAATTATCGGCCCTAAGAATAAGTATAATGACATATCAGTACATAGCCTTTCATCACAAGTGACACAATGATTTGAATTGCTCCAAGGTACAACTTACTTTTTAAAATGTTCTGTATATTTTTTTAAAGAAGTTGCCAGTGTAAATCCCTGTGGTGTTTCCTTTGGCAACAGACCAAGAAACAACTTTAACTGCTGAAACACTGAGAGATGTTGACAG